AATAGTAACTCAATTAATTGCATCAAATAATTGCGTCAATTGCGTCAAGGATCTATGAATTTCAGCAACATGTATAGTAAGTTTTGTCTACCTCAGTTTGACCCTGAATTTTTGGTTACACCAGAATTCTTGAATGATAATTGGTTCGAATTTAGGACTGGTTGATCTATATGTAATAAGAAATGTAAACAAGATACATAACTTTCATGTGTTTCATCTTGCACAATACTAAATTCAATAATGTGATTGGTTTTAATGAAAAGAGCAAGGTAATGAAATATCCACTTTGTAAAAAAGAAGTTTGAAGCTCTCCCCCTCTCCTCTTATATTGATTTTATTTCACTTTAAGGTTGAAGAAAAGTCTTATCCCAGGCACAATAATAAGCTTCTTTTTTGTTAATTATTCTGAAAATGGTTGAAGAAGGGGTCTTGAAACTATCTACTGGTTAAATGAAGCTGTAATTTCTTAGAGAACTGGCTAGAAGAGAAATTGCCAAATAATATATCAATACTTTCCAAAAGTTAGAAGTCTTCAAACGTAAAGTTTCAAGAATTACTTTCCTGGAAGTATCCTTAAACGTTCTTGGTTAGCAACAAAATAGTGGAAATTGAATAGGTATTCAGCTGTAAACAGTCGGACTTGAGATTGACTTCAAGAAGTTTTTATTTGCCAATACAAACTTTTTACTTTTAACACTTTCCTTTCTTTTTTTTTTTCTATAAAAAATAAAAATTTTTTTTATCTCTATAGGACCACAGTAGTTGTATAGGGATGACAGTCTTGGAATGAAGGCTGGCTATAAAATTGAGGAAGACAAGAAGCATTCTTCAAAATTGAGCAACTTTTTCATTTTCTTACAATTACACTTAAAGACCATTGGCTATTGATAGGTGTTCTGCAAGATTGCATAGTTTAACTTTAATATAATATTATCTTATATTGTATTACTGTATTTTTGTTAATTAAGACTCTATTAATAAACACTAAGACTTGCAGTCTGATTTGGAGTAAAAAATAAAAAATAAAAAATAAAGTTTTACATAGAATTAATTTTACAAATAGTAATAAAAAATTTTTAATATAATAAAATAATTAAGTTTAATAAATATTTTATATTTAAAACTTATTTGCAATAAAAAAAAACAATAAATAATTATATTTTTTATATAAGATTAAAAAATTTAATATCAATATAATAAAAAAATTTTTTTAATAATACAATGCTTTAAAAAAAATATTTAACATTTGATTCCACGATTTATTCTTCAAAGAAATGGTACACCTATACAATTTGATAGTAGAAACCTATTTATTTTTAATAGTAAAAGATATAGTACCGTTTCACTAAAGTTACGATTTGTTATCGGTTGAAGAAACAACAATCCAAGATTTTAGGATTATTTGTCCTCTTTTCGTTCCTGAACGCACAAAATAGAGAAGAATAATTAATTTCGGGCAGAAACAAAATGAAGGAAATTGTTCAGTTTATGTATCCTCAGAAATAGTTATAAATACATCATTTTCTAAAAAGAAATAAGATAATACATGCTAAAAATCATAGGATAAACAAAAATCGCAAAGTAAGAAAAAACCGTCACTTACTTACGAGAGTGCCTATTCTTTTCGGATATTCGCAATGAGCTTATATAAATGATTAGATCAATCTACGTATTTCGTTACACAATCTTTTTTTATTGTAAATCCCCCTAATTATAAAGTAATTTTTTAAAGATTATTTATTATTATTTAATTTTTTTTTATTATAATCAATAATTTAAATGTAAATACATATGGGTTTGTAATTCACAATTCGACTGTTAAAAATGATGTTATGTATTAGCAAGTAATTTAATGAAACAGCATTTTAAATAAATTGATGTTGAATAATTTTACTTAAATAAAAATAATTTTTATGAATCTATCCGTGCTCTCATTAAATAAATAAATAATTGATTGGAAGTAATCCCTTCAACAAAATTCGAAAAATTTAAATATACATATACAACAGATGCCATGGAAATTTTCGTCTAAAATCCCATCAGTAAATTCGTACAAGCCTTTTTTAGTTGTTCATAAGAAATCCATCTGTCAGGAACCATGAGGAAATATCTGAAAATCCGGTAAATAATTTCTCAGTATAAGGAATATATATAATCAAAGATATACAAGTCACTTACTTATCCATAGCCTCCCGGAACCTGTTTTTATATTGACGAGGTGATACAATTGTTGGTTCTTTTCCGCCACCACCTAATATACCGCTTTCTTTAACCCAACTCTCAAGTCTTTTGTCCAATGTAAATGTTCGAATGAAGTCTTATATTGAAATTCAAATCCCGTTGTTAAAATCGGATCAGAAAAAAATTGCTTATTGTAATTATACGAATACTTACCAACTATCCCTACAACTAACTCGTGCTTTTCTTCATCAAATCCCACCAGAAGAGAGTAGTCCATTACGTTATGTTTTGACAAAAAAAGGGTGTCATTGAACAATGATTCACGTAACAATTTTTTTCCATGCTCCCGGAGATACAATGGTTTTTTATTCATGACTGTAAATAAATAATATTAGAATGGTTTTCCTTGAGAAAGAAGCATTTGATAAGAATACTTGCGTTCTAGAAGATTCTCGTCCAATAAAACTTCGTTTTCTCTTCCTGTAATCTGAACATGACGGTTCCGCTTAGAACCTTTCAGATCAAAAATCTGAAAAACATAACCATTTTTTAATTTGATCTTGTTAAGTCAAAAATGTTCGAAAACAGCCGAGAAAACTGACCTTTGAAACCTTACGCTCGTAGAAAAGGTTTTCCATTACTATTATGTCTATCTTCATACTTTTTCCAGTGGTTTCGTTTTTATATCCAACTCGGTAGAAGCCAAAGATTTTGGTCAGACATGTTGGAATCTAATATATGTCAGAATAGATGTTGACGCAAAAACTTACGCTCGATTACAATAATTTATATAACAAACCTTGACTAAAGCCTCAGCCATGTATTCAAAGTATCTAGGAGCAAACTTCACAAACGCATCAACCTCATTTCGAGAGATTTGTTTCATGACCAGACGATCATCTAATAATTATAAAAACTTATAAGAAAATACATGTATCACTGCAAACGCAAATAAATACAAACCTCGAGTTTTGAGGAAGGCCGAACCAGACTTTCCTCCCGTTGAATCCCATTTGACACATCGTGCAAGTGATTGAATGTAAGTATCTTCACATCCACACTTTCGACGAAGAGTATCGAACTGTTCGGCACAAAATATCTTACAGGAAAACTGTGTGGCTCCACCAGAAAATTCTTTGTGAATAGGGAACACAATTTTATTAAACTTGAAAATTTATAAAAACAATACTTGATAATGCGGTCATTCTTACCATATTTCATGTGAGATATTAATTCATCATCGGGCTCATTGTTTTCTTCAGCATCGAGAATTCCCCAACTAGAAGTTCTGGTACCAAAACGTTCGTCATCTGGCATAAATGCTTCATTTTTCTGGTTAGACTGTTGCATGTTTTTCAATTTATCCAAATATTCTCGAGAACTTATCACAACAATCGATAAACATCAAAGGTTAAATTGAGTTTACTTTCCAGAAGTCGAAAAGATTTATTATTAAAAAAAAAAAAAGACAACAATATTTACCTCAAAGAAAAAGCTATTATTGATCCGAGTTCATCTTCTCTTACAATTATTGAAGAATCAGGAAACACGTGTTCAGTTGGGTTTCTAATTATTTAAAAAATTAATATATACATATATAAGATTATGTTAATTTTAAAATTATATGAATCTATTGCTTCCCGTGAGAAATACTTACAAAGGATAGTCCAATGGTTTTAAGTTTCTTCCACCCATCCATAAACTTGCAAATGATCTCACTAATTTCCTCGTTGCACCGGTTGAAGATTCGTTTGTATCATTTGAGATCAAAAATCTACCTGTAAATAGTGACGATGAGCCGGGCACATTAGGTCTAGAATAAGGACTTTCGGACACAGGTGTTGTTGGCTCGTTTAAGTCTTGGCCTAAAAAGGTCAACGCCGAATGATATATATATGATTCATTCGATGGTTCACGACCAGATAACGGGAAAAACTCTTCGTTTCCCAATAATTCATCAAACGCGTCAGTGCTGTTTAAAGAAAAGATCCTAACTTCATCATCTTCATTATTTTGGTCCTGTTCCTCATCAGCACTTTCAAATTCTTCATCCGATTCCTCTGCTGTTGCTGTCGAATTTTTAAAAACAGAAATAGTTGGCTTTGAAGGCAGAATGGTCGGTCTAACACTCTTATACTTGCGAAGTTTGCGACTCTTGTTTTCGTGAGATCTAATTGCATTCAAAAAATATCCATCAGGATTTACATTCTTGGTTGACGGTTTAATTTGCCTGGAATTTGATCGAGAACTTGTTGACTTTTCTGATGAAGAATTTTGATTCTTTCTTAAATGTGCTTTTTTGTATGACGAACGATAAACAGAACCGGCATCCTTATCAAATAAAAGATTTAAATTATCAGATCTAATGGTTGAAGATTGCAACGTTGAGCTACGACTCTCTCTATTGCCTATTGAAAATCTGTTTCTTTCTGATTCGCTGGGGGGATCAAATGATGGTATTTCTCTCGATGAAGATGAGCCCAGGGTTCTTTGTCTGATCGTTGATGGTATTAAACGCGGTATTACTTCCGGTTCATGTGAGAAATCGATAATTGAATCTTCTTGTTTGTCCATTCTTGTGGCAGATATGGAATCTGATATACTACGATTGGACACCTTTGGCCTTTTTGATTCTTTCATCAATTTCATCGATAATCTCCTGAAAACCATTGGATCCATAAATGGAAACATGGTCATTTGGGATGCTACCTTTTCAATATCGTTTTCGAGATTTTCGATTTCGCCCTCATGATAGAAATCAAATTCCTTAAATTGCTCCATAATAAGATCAGCGGTAGGTGAGCTTCCTAGTTTTGGAAGAATCGTGGGGCCAAGTACCTCTCCATCATGTCTACTAGAGTTCGCTTCTGTATCAGGTTCCGTGTTGATTAAAGGTAAGTCATTTAAAAGCGATCCCTGATAAGGACGTCCTAAGTTGATCACATCGTGATCACCCAAAAATAATCCCCGAGGAAAATAACGTCGAACAATGTCACTAAAGTCCTTGTCCCATGCTACAACTTTTTCTTGGAGAACAAACATCACAGAATTTAACGCCAAGGTATCCTCTGGTACGCTATTAACGTAGGTTTGTTGAAGTTTCTGAAGCATGAATTTTTTCTCCGTAACGACCCTCCGAGACATCTCAAGCAAGTCTTGTTTACATCCTTCAATCTTGTCTGACCTAACGAGGTCATAATTGAAGTTCTTGATTCGATCCGCAACAGAATCCCAATACTTTGTAATCTTGTGACGAATTGTGTCCAAGTCATGATTTTTCAACCGAATTTGAACTTCCGGCTTAGTGTGCAACGTCATAGGCGGTGGATAGATTTCCAAAAGTTCGATTTGCTCGTATTTGAATCTGATCGTGAATTTGTTATGATAAAAGAATAATTCATGATCACGGTAAACATCATGAGTACAATTTTCTATGAGACTCTTCAACTCCGTCTGATAAAATGATAATTCAAGATATTTTCCAAACGAATATTTCCACGTTTCTTCGGACATCAATCCAAACGGGGTCGAAATATTGCATTTCTTGCAGTGAGTTGACATAAAGATTTTTTTTTCAATGTTCAGCTGCGGTATATCATTTTTTTGAATATCCACGGTAATTCTAGCATTTCCATGGCAAAAACTATAATAATGCTTATATTGCGGACGATCACACGTACGGCAAATGTAAGAAGAACTTCGACACATCTCTTCTAGATATTGTCCCAACGTAAGGTCTGATTCTCTATAATATTCCATAAGCAAGATCTCGGGATTGTTGCAAGCAGTCTCAGTTGCAAGGCATATCTTAATGGATAAGACTGTAATATTCTGGTGTGCATAAGGACTGACAGCATCATTATACTTATAACTTTGCCAAGCTCGAGTTTGGAGCATGTGCTCGAGGATAGCGTCCCCATACTCACCTTCAGCAACAACTTGCTCAGGAGTGCGCAGAATGCCAGATTTCAGACCACTGACAGCAGTGGATGATGCGGAATGTTGTTTTTCACTATCTTTGAATCCACCAGACGACCAGCCCTTACGTTTAAGGGTTAATTCATTAAGTCTATATTCTGTCTGTTTCATTTTTATCAACAGATATGGAGGAGGAAATTTAATAAATGGTGATACCGACAAGATAGTATACTCATAAGGCTTCATGATGTCATCTGAATCATCACCAATGGAAGATGTAGCTTTGCTTTCTTCCAGTGTTTGAATCATAGGAACCTTTGCATATTGATCATCCATTAGAGTCGTTTCTAATTTCAGATTATACACCAAGAACACCATAAGGTCAGTTATGGTCTTTATCTTCTTGAGAGTTTCTAAATTACCACCTCTTAGAACAATTGTGCAACCTAATTCCTTCGGACATTTTTCAAAAAACAGGTATGTCTTCCTACGATTCGGAATTAGTTGATGGACGTATGTTTTAACTACGAAAGTACCACATTTCCCAAGCTTAGGTTCTAGTGCAAGCTTGTCTATGGAAGCAATGATATCCGCCCGCGCGCAACGTGCAACACCCTCAATAACTGTGGGCTTGACATTCAATGCGACTGCAACATTTTTTTCTAATAAAAATTGTAAAGCCTTCCGTGCTACAGTTTTCTCTACCAGGACCAAATGAGGTGCCAAGGCTGAAATGCGATTAACCAATTTACGTAAATGTTGTTCTTCTTGTTCTATAACCGGTCTTATGGGCATGAAATGATTCTCGGCTCGGTGGTATTCTAATGCAAATGTTAAAATAAGAATACGAGGATTTTGGAGAATTCTTGGCATCTTTTTGTGGGCTAGGTTTTTGGAACACACAACTCCATGAATATATTCCGAGTCTTGAGGAGTTCCACCAGGAATTTTCTTGATTTTCACATAATGCCTTATATCGATTTCATCTCCTTCACGAACATTTGGATCAAGATTTTCTGAAACTTCAATCATTAACCTCATTATCACATCCTCCCAACCCTCGGATAAGTCAATTTCCTCTTTCATCAGAATTTGACGCAAAAATTGTCTCATATGTTGAAGCGATGTGGGACTAAGTTCTATCTTGACTGGTGTGGAGGTAGAATGAGTATGCCTCGAATTAAATGGCGAGGAAGGCCTCTGTTCTATAGGGGAGATTGCCATCGACATGTCTATCGATTGCAGATTTGTATTAATTTGCCTTAGTAAGCTACCTCTTCTGCTTATCCTAGCTGGCCGTCCACTAGTAAAACTTAACTTTCGAGGAATGGCGTTTTTATCTCTAGCAAAATGAATTCGAATGTCTTCAGTACGCTGCCCTTTATGTATTGCCTTCACTTGAGATATCCTAGTGCTGTACTCATATTCATCATCACTTCCTGCGTATTCTGAAATAGGTGGAGTTGGAGTGGCAGATTCGTTGTTCACTCCATTCTGTTGCGAAATTCCTGGTACGTAGCTGAGAACATTTGATGGGTTCACCAGGGAATTATAATGGCCGTCGTCATACTCGTCTCTCATATAGGGTGCAATTTCTGGATCGAGTACAGAATCATGAATTACCTTGTCTTCTTCACCAAAAACACGCCTAAAAGGAACAGTTGATAATGATGACCCGGCGGCATTTTCCTCGGTTATTGTGTTCGACCTCGACCTCGACATAAACAATGAGCTCGAGAAAAATTTTTTTATGCCATCATTTAACGAAAGAGTGTCAGGAGATGGTGCTCGTGGTGGAGGGTTCAGGTGATCTTGAGAAAGATTAGAGGGAAAAATGTGATTTTCTGGTGTTAAATGAATTTGTCTCACTTGAGGGGTATAGGTTGAAAGGTCATTTTTCCCTGTGAGTCCCTGATCTGTGTCAGATTCTTCGCTGTATTCCTTCATTATTTTACTGCACCAATTACAAACACGCATTGAGCCTTCGTGATTAAATTTTTCGCCGGAAATAATGTTGGAAGCACATTTGGAACAAAAAATTTGACCTTTATTAAATATAAAATTTGTGACGTTAAGAGAAGTCATTTCCAAAAAAAAAACTGAACACAAATCGAATACTTCAATTCTTACCACAAATACGACAATGATGCTTTCTTCGGTAAATCGTAAAATGGATATTACAACCGTAGCATTCTTTACAAGCATCATCAGCCATCCAATAATCTTTGTTTACTCCTTCTCCACGTAATCTTCGTATAACTTTACTTATATAACCATTACTAACCGACGAAGTTGTTTGAACAGATCTAATCGAAAGTGTATCCGATGTGTCTTTATTGATAACACTACCGTTTCGGTTAATGTCATTGTTACTTGCAATTACGCTACTATTGTTCCCATTTCCAGCTAAGTCAGAATGATTTTCGATTTCCGACTCGATAAGTATCGAGGTATTGCTAAAAGCAGTTTCTAAGGAAATCGTAGGAGGTTCTAGATTCACACTAGGCACGACACCTTTGTCGGGAACAAGTGTTGGTGGCGAACTCGAGGGCGTGTGTTCCGACGACTGTGTTGGGGAACCAATTGAAGAGATATCGCAAGGCTCCGTTATATTGATCTTGTTTGAATTTATAGGGATCGGATTTGCATTTGTAGTTGAGCTTGGACTCGATACAACGAATGAGCTTTTGACGCGCTGGAATAATTTTGACAAGACATTTTCGTTTTCTTGTTCAAAAGGCCTGTCGAAGTCAAAGCTCGTTAATGTTGAAACGTCAGTATTGAGAGAGCTTTTTTTCTGAAATGACGTCATATGTCAAAGCAGAACGTAGGGAATTATTCTGCAGTCAAGGTAGGATTATCTATCGACGAGAACTTAACGCGTGATCCGCACTTCGAAAACAATGGAAACGCTGACATTTCCTAATTTAGTGCCCTGAGAACACATAAAGGAATAATTTTTGACAAACAACCTTAATAAATATTTAAGTTTTGATACGGTCTTTTCGTTAATACGAAAATGGATAAAAGAATTTACTTAAATCAATGTACAATTTACATTCTCTATAAATATATAATAATTATTTTATTATTTCTTTATTTGTTTATATTATTAAAAAAAAAATACATATTTAAAAAAAATTATATTTTTATTTTATTAATAATTAAATTATTTGGACAAATATTTATTTTTTAGAATATAAAAATAAAATAATACATTTTTTTTAATACTTTATTAATAAATTTATCTTGAAATTTGATTTTAAAACTAAAATAAATTTGTTTTTTTTTTTTTTTTTTAGAGACAAAGTACATTATATGTTAACTTTTTATTAACTTAGTATTTGAAGTTACAATTGTTATATGAATAGTCTAACTAACTGTTCTAGTTATCCTAACTTTAGCACCATCTCTACTTTTAATCTGATTATCAACTTACACCACAGAAGTGGATTTGCAACCCAGGTGTGGACTATTAAAAAAAATTTGTTTAAAATTTTTTTAAGTTTTTATATATAAATTATATTTTATATTAAATTTTAATAAATTTCTTTAATTTAAAAATCAAATAGGTAACTTAAAATTTAATAAAAATTATTTTTTAATTATTTTTATTTTTATTTTACAAATTGATGAATTAAAATTATTATAAATAATTTATTTATTTATTTATTGTAATTTAATTAAATTATATTTTCATTTTGATATAATAATGAATTTCAACGAATTTTAATAAATTTCAATAATATATTAATAAAAACAAAAAAAAACTCTTTTTTACTTTTTTTTTCTATGTTTGAAAATTTTTTAGTTGTTTATTTATTTATTTATTTATTTTCCTTCTTTTATATCTTTTTATTTTTTATATCTTATTTTATTTCTTCTTTTCTATGTACTTTTTTATATACTTTATATCATTTTTTTTTTCTTTTGCCAAAGTTAGATTTTTTTTTTCCTAAAGATTTTTCTTTATAGATTCTCTTTTTTTTATAAACTTTGTTTTCTATAATATCATTTCTTTAACCAATTGACTTTCTTTTCTTAAGAATCATATTAAAAATTAATAACTTTTTTTAAAATATGAACTTCAGAATTTTTTTTTTTTTTATAATTTTATAAAAAAATATATATAGATTATTCTCTTTAAAAAATTAATATGGTCATTATTATTAAATTTGATATTGTTTACTTATTAATAATTAAATTAAATATATCTAGAAAACTAGTATACAATTATTATTATCTGAAATTATTTATTAAGTTATATCTTATTATATCCAGAATAATATGACAATCAATATTAATATAATTAACAATAAACCAGATTAGTTTGCAAATATTATACTTATAATTGAAAATTTTAATATGATAATATGTAAAGATTGGGGATTTTAATTACACTTATAATACAAGTTAGTGACAATAATAAAAGTTTCTTGTTTATTCTTTTGATAATATAAGCTTATTATATAAGATTAAATATTAGTATTTTTAAAAAATTTTAATTCTAGATGATTACTATATGGACATTGCTGGTGCAGAGGGACGTTCAAGGCCACTTTAAAGGAGTTGCACTTTGCTTGGCATTTGTGCCCCTAGATTTGGCAGCTTACGTCAACTAAGAGCCTTAGGAAGTGTCTACTAGGAGATTTAGGAGTCACGTCCCACTTGGTAAAAACCCCCAGATTTGGTAGTCTGTGTCAACTTTAAGAAAACTCTTGGAGAATTTACTAGAAAGTGTAAAGAAGTAAGCCCATAAATATCACAAAAATATGAGCCGGAGGTAAGAAAGTGATAAGGATCCTAATAACAGTTAATAGGTACATGCCCTTTGAATAGTTTGCACCTGATATACGAATTTACCCACTTGATATAAATTAGTACAATCAAGTTAGTTAGAGGTAATTAATTATTGCTTTTCAACTTATAATTCTAATAATGAATTTCAAAATAAGAATCTATATTAGATACAAATAGTAAAAAATTAATATTATCAAAGAGTTGTTTTAATAATAAAGACAATTACTACACTTTAGTCTTTAGTTCTAACAATAGGTTTGAATGAAAAGTCAATACTAAATACAAATAGTAAAAAACTAGTTTTATTTTAGTATAGTTTGAATTTAGTATAACTTGAAATCAACTCTTAATCTGCTTATTATATATCAAATCATATTTGAAAAACAAATATATTAATTTTAATTATAACTTGGAGACCAATCTGTATATAGTAGTTCCAATACCTTTATATAATTAGATAATTCAATTCTCTAAATAACTAGATATTATTTAGAATATAGTATAGGTTTTAAATTTTTTTTTTATATTTTTGAGTGATACTAAAAAGCTTAAATAAGTGGGCCACAATTGTAAATTTTGCATTAAACTCTTTTTAATAAAGAGATATATATATTATATTATTCCTTAAATTATAATGTAAACAAATTTGCTTGCTTATTTAAAATTTTAATAAAATTTTAAATATTAATTTTTATAACTTACTTATATTATAAAAAATATAGTTTAAGATAT